CCCCGGCCTCTCTCTCTCTCTCTCTCTCTCTCTCTCTCTCTCTCTCTCTCTCTCTCTCTCGCCCCACCATGCGATCGGCACGCTATCGGGCCGATCCGCCCGCGGTCCACCCTACCGCCCCGGCATGCTATCACCACGCTATCGGCCCGCTCCGCCCTCGGTCCACCCAACCGCCCCGCCCCACTGCCGACCGACTCCCGACTGTCCACCCGACCGTCCCGCCACGCTACTGGTCCATTCCGACGGGACCCTGCGGCAGCCGGCTACCGGCCTCCCCAAACGTCGCGACCTCCTTGGTCCCCTGCGTCCCCACGACCCCGCGGTACCGCGCGCGGGCCTCCCTGCCCGACTTTCCCTGGGCCTGGTGGCAGCGTCACGCGAGGACCGGTTTTCCCTTTAGGGTATAAATGAAGAGAAGAGATAGGCCCGTTCTTGAAAACTGAAGATCTGTGGTTTAGAACCTCTTGAAGTAGTTGAAACTAAAATGACTGGTACGACCCAATGCGTGTGACAAGACAGGAGTGATTGCTGGATCTGAACCCACCGAGTAGGAACCAACTGAAAAAAGTGGAGTAGGACAGTTGCTTCTTCTAATCAAACCCCTACTGCCACAATGCCTATCGAAGTAGAAGCCTACTGCTGCTACCTGTAGCCTTTTGCTTGGCCTAAAATAGGCGGCCAGGCGGCGACATCTGCCTCAAAATTATGGACGATTCAGCCACTTAGGGCCAGATCCCACTAGCCCCTGTTGTTCATTTCTGACCGTTGATCTGCGTAATCGAGGGTGAAAAATGAATAATCCAGGGTTGTGGGATCTGACCCTTAGAAAGCCCAAGCATTTGGGGAGAGGCTTGCCCCCAAGCATTTGCGATCTCCCGCCATCGGCGTTCAACCTTTATTTGTTAGGAGTGTCACTGCCCGCGCAAAAGCCCAGCCGCCGGGAGCCAGCGGCAGGCGTAGATTTCGATCGGGAAGAAATGGACGGTGGAACTGGACAGCGCTTCTCACACGGAGGAATCAGACTCGATTCTAGGAGATACTCCAGCGGAAACGGCGGGCTAAGGGCCTCCCCACATCACTGTCGAAATGCGAAAAAGACAAAAATGTGGCGGGCGCATCTGGCCATCTTCTAGGGGGAAGTTCGTTGTCATTTTGCACATTTCGGGAGTGGTGTGGCGATCCCCTAAATGGCTGACTCGTCAAAAGGCGTGGGCGGGCTGACTGGGCCGGCTGGTTCTGCCGTGGGGGGGGGGGGGGGGGGGGATGATCGCTCGCATCCCCAGATTCCGTAACGGCACAGGGTGTGCATATGCTCCTTCTGTGGGCGGGTGTATTGCCGTAGCTGGTTGGGGGAGTTGCTTGATGCCTGATTGGCAGAACGCCAAGGCGCCCTTCCTGGTTTGAACGAGGAGCGCGTCCACTACCCTTCTTCCCCCGAATAGAACGTGCGGTCATTTTCGCCGCATCTGGACTGAAATGTCAGCCAGATACGTCTATAATGACCGCACGTACATTGTATTCGGGGGAAGAGATGATAAGACATTCCAACGACGGTTCGCGACGACGGTCCGCGAACTGGAGTAGGGTAGGTTCTTCCCTGTACTGTGCAGCCGAGGTAATCATTCGTCCAACCCGGGGGGAACTGAACTCCGTCCGCACTTGGACCAAATTTACGTCCAGGAGCTGACAGGCAAATCTAATCTACTATTTGACAGCCTTTGCCTACCGCATATCTCTCTCTCTCTCTCTCTCTCTCTCTCTCTCTCTCTCTCTCTCTCTGTGTCGGCATTCGCTCTCGATCGTGCTCTGCATTAACCCCCTGACCACCGTCGGTATGTTTGTCTCTTGGTCTCTATGTGTTCGACATTCCGTCTGCACACCGAACGTGTGACAGCGGTGGGCATGTGCCGATCTGCCCTCGTATTGCCTCTTGCGCTACCAGAACGATTCATTTGCTTCCATAGTCGTTAATCGTTTGTTTGATATTATGAAGTAGCGTCTGGCAATTCTACGAGATCCAGTCGGACATGCGTCTGTAGAGAAATGGTTAGCGGGGAACTGCATTGGAACCCTTCGTCAACTTTCAGGAATCCCTGTCCGACGAAATCAGCTTTGCCATAGACGACGATCGTTCTCTTCTCTCTCTCTCTCTCTCTCTCTCTCTCTCTCTCTCTCTCTCTCTCTCGTGCGCAAAGCGCGCAGGGGAGGTGAGAGAGAGGGGGCGGATGAGAGATCTAAAGTGGGAAGAGGAGCTGATCAAGCTCTCAACGGTCTCTCTCTCTCTCTCTCTCTCACGCACGCGCGTTCGGAAAGTGCGTAGGGGAGGTGAGAGAGGGGGCGGATGAGAGATTCAGAAGCGGGAAGAGGGGGCTGAGCGAGCTGGCAAGGGGTGCGGATCAGCGTCACACGGGGCGCTGCCACGTGGAACCTTGAGAAAGGCAGAGCCGCAGTAACGAGATTGGATTTTTCGTAGCAAAGAAAGGGCTGTAACCACACCTGCTTTCTTCAGCGCCTTCCCTGTGTAGCTCTTTGTACTTTCCCCCTTCTGTTGGCCATCGCGCAGCCTCGGTCGACGCCTTCACTACACACACCTACACACACTTTCACGCATTCAAACGCTCGCAGAGACGCGCAGAGACGCGCAGAGAGAAACGCATATGCGAAATCGGAGTTCAGAATCCGGTTTTCTGAATTGAGCACGCGCTGGGACACCCAGCACGCCCGCACGCGCGCACGCGCGCACGCCATCTCTCTCACTTGCCCGCCTCTGTTTTTTTTTTTTTTTTTTGGGTTCGGCTGGTCCACGCTTTGCTGCAGTGCAAGGCGAAGCCAACACAGAGGGGCGCGGAGTATTTATTGCCCGCCTCCTTTTTTGTGTTAGAGCGAATTGGGATTCTTGTTGTTGAGTTTGCTGTAGCTGCTGCAGAATCTGCTATTGGCCTTGCTATTCTTTTTTTTTTTTTTTTTTTTTTTTTTTTTTTTTTCCGGAATTGTTATTACTACTTTCCGAACTCGTGGCGTTCTTGAAGTCTACGGCAAGAATTGTTTTTTTTTTTTTTTTTTGGGAACGGCAATAATTGATCGAAACGCTATCTTGGCCTCATGAACGTACTCCTTCAGCAAATTTAATTCGCTCGGTTTTTCTTTTCCCGAGCTGTGATAATTTTCCGCTGTTTCTTTTTTGTTTGTTTTTTTAATTTTTGTTTGTGTTTTAATTTTTCTCTGGCGGGACGGGGGGTGCAGCGCTTGATTTTTTTTCTTTTTTTTTCTTTTCTTTTTTTTCGGTGGCGGTTGATTTTTGACCCGACCTCTCTGCCACACTCTTAGATCTATTTTTAGTCCGCGGTTTGGCGGAGGTTCGGCATGGCCTTGTGGCTTGTGGGCAGTCGATCGGAATTGGTCTCAGGCGGCTTTTTGAGGCTCGGCATAGGCTCGGCATCTCCTGGGACTGATACGAAGTCCCGTACGTGTCCCATCTCCTATGGGGGAGTAGGCAGATCTGAATTTAGTCGCAGGTTCGGGGTAGGTTCGGCATGTCCTTGGTTTCTCTCGAGAGTGGCGGCGGACACCTCAGCGGGAGCGTGCTCTCGGATTGCCGCGAGAAGGAAGAGGGCTTGCGATCGAGTTACCCGTCCTCCTCCTCCTCCTCTTACTGGGTGGGGTAACGGAGGACACCCTTTTTGCAGAGCTTGTTTGTCAGTATCACCATCGCTGTCTCCTCTCTCTTCTTCGTTGTCGTCGGCGCCCAAGCTATCAGGTCGTCGGCAACTTCAAGGTGTCGGGATGCTGTCTGAAGAACCGGGGTCGGGATTATACGGAAGCCTACATGTTGTGCACAAGCACACGTGTCGAGCGCAGGGCGCCAGTGGCGGGATGACCGAGAAAGAAGGCTGGGAGAAACGTAAGGTATGTATCTAAGGGAAAAAAGACAAACGGAAGGTATGGAGTGCCGAAAGGAAAAAAAAAAAAAAAAAAGGGAAAAAAAAAAAAAAAAAAAAAAAAAAAAAAACTTTTTTTTTTTTTTTTTTTTTTTTTTTTTTTTTTTTTTTTTTTTTTTTTTTTTTTTTTTTTTTTTTTTTTTTTTTTTTTTGTGCACGTTCTGAATGTTTGCTATGAAAATTGAGGATCGTGTTGGGAGGGAACCTGGCTATTGGGCCTCCTCTCTTCACTGCCCACCACCGAATGTGCAAAATGGGATTGCATCTTTCGGTAGAACGTAAGAAACACTGCTATGTTTTGTCTTTTGTGATTCTATTTTGTTGTAGTCGTAAAGCTTTTTTTTTTTTTTTTTGTGCACGTTGTGAATGTTTGCTATGAAAATTGAGGATCGTGTTGGGAGGGAACTTGGCTATTGGGCCTCCTCTCTTCACTGCCCACCACCGAATGTGCAAAATGAGATTGCATCTTTCGGTAGAACGTAAGAAACACTGCTATGTTTTGTCTTTTGTGATTCTGTTTTGTTGTAGTCGTAAAGCTTTTTTTTTGTTTTTTTTTGCACGTTGTGAATGTTTGCTATGAAAATTGAGGATCGTGTTGGGAGGGAACTTGGCTATTGGGCCTCCTCTCTTTACTGCCCACCACCGAATGTGCAAAATGAGATTGAATCTTTCGGTAGAACGCAAGATACACTGCTATGTTTTGTCTTTTGTGCTCGTGGTGAGTAGTGGAGCGAAGCCCATTGTTGCAACGTTGAACTGACCTGCCTCATGTAATTCAGATTTTTTTTTTTTTTTTTTTTTTAACGAATAATTCAGAATTAGCCGGCCCCATCAGAATTATAACTACGATTTTTTTTTCTGTTTTTGAAAAGGGTGACGTCCTTGTGATATCATCTTTGAACTGGCCGACCCCAGGTAATACAGAAATATCTTATTCAGAAAAAAATAAATAAAAAAAATCTCATTCTAGTCGTCCAATTTTGCGTGGGGGGGATTTGAACTCAGGTCTGGCTTTCAGCAGTATGTGGGTGTACCAGCTGAGCTACAGTCTTCCCCCGAATACAACGCACGGTCATTATAGCCGTATTTGAGGCATCTTTCAGTCTAGATACAGCTATACTGACAGTACGTTGTATTCGGGGGAAGACTGGAGGCCAGTCGGTGATCGTAAGTATTTTGTTCTCCTCCTCTGGGGCAAGGTCCCACTTGCACGGATTAAGAGATTCTGGCCGTTGATCTTTGCTATCTACGATCAATATCGCTTAATTCGTGTAAGTGGGACCTAGCCCCTGGTTGCATCTGGATCCTAACTTGGAGATCTGCATTTAGATAGTTCATGGGTGTACCAACTGAGGTAGGCTCATTGGTTGTCACGTAGTCAATTGTTTTTTGTTTTTTTTTTTCGATTTTTTTTTTTATATTAAATTTGGACCATTTTTCGATTTATGCGTGTCATCCTTGCGCAGGGGCCATGTTAATCTTGCTTCTCTGTATCGTTCCAATTTTAACAGATGTCGCGAAGGACAATAATACTTAACTTTTTTTTAATAAAAGGGCGACGGCCTCGAGATATCATCATTGAGCTGATCGGCCCCAGGCAATTCTGAAATATTTGGTTTTACTCGTCAATTACCATCTTCTGGAGCGAGGTCCCACTAGCAAAGGGGATTGGATAAATATCCTGAATCTGGACGTGTTTTAAGCGGACATGCAGAAAAGCAGTTCAATCTCGACATTCTCCGCCTTTCCACAAACACGTCCAGATTCAGGTGTTCAATCTTATCCTGTTTGTTAGTGGGACCTCGCCCCTGGATTCAAACTCGGGTCGTCTTTATTTCAACAGTTCATGGGTCACCGTGTCTCCACTGAGCTAGGCTCGTTGGTTGTCTCTTAATCCTTTTTTTCAGACCACTTTTTTTTTTTTTTTTATTAAAAAAAATTGGACCATTTCTCGATTTATGCGTGGCATCCTTGAAGACGCACGGTCCATTTGCTAAATTACCTTTCTCTGTATCGGTCCAATTTTAACGAATGTCCCGAAGGACACTTTCTTTTTCTGAACTTTGGGGGTAGGTCAAGCCTCTGGGGTGAGGTCCCACTACCCCCCCCCCCCGACCGGTAAGGACCATGAAAGGGGTTTGGTTTGTTTGACTGGGGAGGCCGGCCGTGCAAGGACCACGGAAGGGCTCAACAAAAAAACTTGAAAAACAAAATCCCGAAAAAAACTATGTGATGCAGAAAAATAAACTGGACAACTTTTGCCTCAGCGTCACAATGAAATTCCTTATCAAATTTGAATTAACTATGAAACTTAAAAAAATAATATATAGCTCTGTTTGACTATATGTATATATATATTTTTAATTTTAACTACTTTTGGCCCGGCCAGGCAAGTTGCTCCAAGGCCAAGGCCCACTACGGTAGCAGCGTTGAGTTACTCAACACCTGAATCAGGCGTGTATGAATAGATGTGCAGAAATGGCGTTGAGTTTCCTCAACCGCACATCCCCACAAACACGTCCAGATTCAGGCGTTGAGGAAACTCAACGCTGCTAGTGGGGACTTGGCCCCCGGGCCATTCTGGTATCCTAGGTAAAGAATCTTTTTCTGTGCCGTCATAATTAAAATCGGAAGTTGAATTTCAAAAAGAAAAAGAAAAAAAAACTTCAGCAGGAAGGGAGGAGGGGGGGATTGGAAAAGTCTTGAAAGCAAGGATGTCCTGGAGCGAGGTCCCACTAGCAACGAGGACTGGATGAAGCTCCTGAATCTGGACGTGTTTTACGGAGAGATGCAGAAAAGCAGTTCAATCTCGATTGTCTGCACCTTTCCACGAACACGTCCAGATTCAGGCGTAGATGCAGAAAAGCAGTTCAATCTCGATTTTCTGCACCTTTCCACGAACACGTCCAGATTCAGGCGTTCGATCCAATCTTCTTTGTTAGTGGGACCTCGCCCCTGGACGCAAAGGCTATTTCTGAATTAATATTGCCCGCCACCCCCCCCCAACCCCGGGCCCAACAAAGCCACGTGGCATCGCGTACGGCGAGTATTTTCCTCGACAGATTTTTAGTTCATTTTATTTTCTTGTATTTCTTTGTATTTCTTTGTATTTCGTTTTATTTCGTTGTATTTTCTTGTAGCTTCAATGTCACCTTCATCTCTGTCCAAAAACGTACCCAAAGAAAATTCGCGGCTGCGCGACGATGTGTGGCGCCACACTTTTTTTAATTTTTCTTGTTCCTTTTTTCTATAAAAGGAACACGTCCCGGGTATATCGATTTTTTTTTGATTTTTTTTTAATGTACATGGTAGTCAGCGCTCAACTTGTCATCCACGTGGCTGGCCTTGTACGTAAGAGGTGATGAACAGGCGGAGCTTTCTTTCCTTGTTTGGTTTTTCTCCGCCTTTGCGCTCCGATTCACTGTGACATTATATATATTGTCACACTGGAAATCAGAGCGCAAAGGCGGAAAAAGCCAAAAAAAAGACAGTATATATATGTATATATTTCGTTCTTTTCCTTTCCTTGTTTTGCCTTTTTCCGCCTTTGCGCTCCGATTCACAGTGAGGTGACCTTACGGCCGCCCTCAAAACCACATTCGTAAGCTGACAGTTTTTCCGGATCAGGTTGCGATGTTAATAGAGAGCAGGTTACGGAGGCCTATATGTTCAGACGATTGGTCATGCCATTTATAAGAAAACTCGAGTCATTTTAACTAAACTCGCCACCAATTGATAGAGTGGAGACCACACTAACTAATTGGGGAAAAAAATAAAAAATAAAAACAAGTAATCCTGTCGCGAGGCTCGGTGATTCGTAGGCGTAATAAGGGAAGATGATCATCGGATCGTGAGTTTGTCAATTTGCAAGGCTCGGTAATCAGAGGGTAAGGGTTCGGTGATCCCTACGGTAGGCGCGTACGTAACAGGGGAAGACAAACGTTGAGTTATAGCCGTATTTGATGCATTTTTTAGTCCAGATACGGCCGGGAGAGGACCTCAACAATGCATTTATAAGAGATTTATGACTCGATTCAATGGATGGTGAGGAGATTGTGAGATCGTGAGGTTACAGCACCATTGCCCCGTCACGGCGATGGTTTTGGCGCGAGGTTTGGTAATCAGGCTGCAAGGTTCAGTGATCAGGTTTTTTATAGATTCGCCTGGTTCTTTTAGCTGTAACAGTGCAAGCAAGATGGTCAGGGTTTTTTTTTTTTTTTTTTTTTTTTTTGGTTGGATGGTTATGGGATTGTGATATTGTCATATTGGGGACGGTCTGCTGCCTTTTTTGTTGAAAAAAAAAAAAAAAGATTGTCATTTTGCGAGGTTCGGTAAGCAGGTTGCGAGGGTCGGTTGCGAGGATCGATAGCGAGAGGTTGCGAGGCTCGGTGATTCCTACCCTCTTTTGCTGAATAGAATACATGCTTATTATGGATGAATCCAGACTGAAAATTGGTCCAAATGCAGCTATAATGACGGAACGTTCTATTCGGGGGAAAACGGTAGGCATAACAAGGCAAGATGGTCATTAGATTTAAAGCCTGAATCTGGACGTGTTTATGGACAGGTGAAGATGGCGATGATACAGCATTTAGAGCATACTCACACTAGGACTTGCTTCGGCTGAGCTGTAGCATCAGGTCGTAATTGCGGTCAGATACTTCCAGGTCAGGCTTTAATTGCGTTGAGATTGTATCCAGCAAAGTCTCAAGTGCGAGTATGCCCCCTTATAATCAGCTGGGCGATGCTTTTGGGAAAAGTGCTGCTGCCTACCGTCTTCACCCGAATAGAACGCCCGGTCATTATAGCTGAATTGGGTCTATTTTTCCGTCTAAATTCAGCTATAATGACCGTACGTTGTATTCGGGGGAAGACTGTAGTCGTTAAGTACGATTATAAGAGTCGAGGGATCAAGTCTTTCCACTTTCAAACACCTTCTCTTAAGAGAGAGAGAGAGAGAGAGAGAGA